CAAACAGCAGAAAATGGCTACAGAAGAAAGCAAGGCGTTGTCAGGAAAGCTGGTTACTTTGAGATAGTCATCCCAAATACATTAGAGGAGCTGTGAAAAAAATCAGCCACAGAAGGAACAATGGTCCACAGTTGTAAATGCCACTGCAGCTTAACCAGGAAACCCTTCCTGTTTAGGGTTTGCAAAATGTGCAACTGTTTATTAATGCAGCGTAGTGTCCAAGAGACGTACATTCTGGTGGTCCTTAATCTATTGTAGCCTTTTCTTTTTATCACACCCGGTATATTGCCCTGTAAATTGTAGAAGTGGTGCCAAGAATAAAAAAAAAAAAAAGGAATGTTTAACTTAAAAAAAGAAAGAAAACACATGCAGGTTTAAGCAAGAGAAGCGGTTGCCGTGTGCCTGGTAAAACCTGGGTGGACTCCAGCTGTTGTTATTAAGTAGAAACCATGTGCAGGTTTAAGCATAGGTTTCGTCCCCCTCGGCTCTCTCCTGAGATAGCTATGAGAGCATTTGACACAATACTTTCCCTTTATCTCTCATCGTCCTGGCTCCCTGAGATACTCCCAGGCTTGTCCTTCATGGTGCTCTCCGTACTTTGATACATTCCTCACTTGCTTCAGAAGAGTGGATGCTGCTACATGTTTGAATGAGGCGGGGGATAATGCCTCAAGCAGTGAGAGGCCTGGCCTGCTTGTGGCTCCTGTAGGGAGGTCCTGGAAGGCTTGAGCAGAGGAGTGATGCAATCCTACCCATGTCTTTCAACAAAACCTTCCCGACCTCTCTGTGGAACACCGGCAGTTAGTGGGAAGGGATGGGAGTAAAGACACCAGTTAGGAGGCCATTGACGTCAGCTATGCAAAAGTGCTGGCTTAGACCAAGGCTGTGTAGTACTGTGTCCCTGAGAGATTTAAACTGTTTTAAAGTGGGGAAAATAGCTTTGGAACAGGTGAGGAAAGGGACTCGGGACTCTGGAGCCTGGAACGACCATTTATGTCGAGAGAAGACACAGGAAAGCCAGGCCAGTGGACAGAAATTAGGAGTTTGATTTGGCCATATGTGACAAATGTCAGTTGTGTGTTGTGAGTCATTACTTTTAGGAGATACTTAATAGTCCTGACGTGAGATGAAGTCACAAAAAGGAACATTAAATGCATATGGGTCAGAGGGATTATCCTAGGGCTCTTTAACTTATGGAGATCTGGGAGGCTTGGGAACAGGCAGAGCGATAAGAGAATCCAGGCCAGACTGGAAAATTTAAAGGAGCAAGGATGAACTCTGTCAGATAAGATTCAGAAATTAACCGTTGACTAAGCCTCAGGGAGGTCGTTGCATTCCTTAGCAAGAACATTTTGGTTGGAGGAGCAAGGATGCAAATCTGAATTGGGTTTTTTCATGAGAAAAGAAAGGTAGAAATTAGACACTGGAATTGTCTGGAGTTAGAATTCGTGGTCTGGCTCTAAGAGTTATGTGTTCAAATTAACTGGTGATAAGGTGTCTTGGCATGAAAGGCCACTTACTTTAGTCACCAGCTTTAACTAATTAAATCAGGCCCATCTCACAGACTGCTGGAAACCTCTTAGGTATCTGGCTATGCTTTCTCTGAAAATTCTTGACTAAACTCTGCTGTCTGGCTTTCTTTCTCTTCTCCTCTCCTCTCCTCGTCTCTGTCTCTCTCTGTCTCTCTCTCTGTCTCTGTCTCTCTGTCTCTGTCTCTGTCTCTTTCTCTCTCTCTCTCTCTCTCTCTTTCCTTTTTCTTAAATAGACTGACTGCATAGGCCAGGCTGCTTTCCACTCTTCATTGTCCTGTCTTGGGCTCCAAGTGCTGGGGTCTCAGGCCTGGGTGACCTCACCTGGTTACCCCCAGTTCCACATGCAACATATCAAGGAAAGCGCTCTTCATCTGGACCTGGGGCAAGGCTCTAACATAACAGAAATCCTTGAGGAACTTTGTCTGTGGACTTTAGAGACTGGAATTGGAGTTCTCACCATCTGAAGAAAATGTGTCACCACAGAGTCAGTCACAGTGGCAAGACAGTCCTCCCGCAGTGAGCTGGTTAACTAGTCTCTCTTGTGCTTTGTCATTGGTTCTGAACCCAACTCCCCCAGGGCTGCTTTTCTGTCTGCCCACAATTGCAAGGCACGTCTTTTGTTTGCTTCTAGTCTCAAAGAAAGGCTTATTTTGAGGTTTGGACCACAAATAATAATCCATTGTTCCCTATAATAATAATCCACCCTCTGTGAGTAGAAAAAAAATTTGCCTGATGCAGTGTGGCTATCAGTTTATTTAAAAGAATAGCCAAAGTGCCCATTATATTCTGAGAATAAACATTTGCAAGATGGTTGGGAGGAATGAGGGGTGTTCTTATTCTCCTTGGTGAGAGTCACAGTTAAGCCTTCGGGAGAAAATGACTGTCAGTTCCGTGACAATGCTGATCTGTTACATTCTAAGTAATTGAACACAGCAGGTATTTATTCCAAACTATCTCTTATAAGAATACCTTATTTTGCAGATGTATATTTTTAAGTTAACAGTTTCAGGGCAAATGCACTTAGCCTGTGAAAGTGCCTCTGTTTGAGTGAAGACTTTTACCAAGGCTGCAGCCTCTATCCAGTCCCACAGTTGCCTCTAATTACAGATGGGAGGGGGCATTTTGAAGTTGCAAATAGTAGACAAATTTTAATTAGCATTCCCTGGACTTCGGCAAACGGAACAAACCTGGAGGGTGAAATACAAACCTAAACCAGTGTGTCAGCTCTTTCTAAAGGATTCATGTTCCCAGCACAGGGAAATTTTAAGGGAGGTAAGATTTCACTCACAAAACCAAATACATATTTTTCTGCCTTGAGTATTATTTGTTTGTTTGTTTTAGGATGCTGAGGGGACCGGATCCCATAATGGATGGTTGGGAACCACCCTGTGGTTGCTGGGAATTGAACTCAGGACCTCTGGAAGAGCAGCCAGTGCTCTTAACCTCTGAGTCATCTCTCTAGCCCCTGCCTTGAATCTTTTCTAGGAAGAGTGTCAGTTAAGTAGTAACAAGTATGTCTTAGAATAGTTTAATAACCTTAAATATAAATGGGGGTGAAACTTGATGTATCAGATGAATATAAAAATTGTCCAAAGAAGTAGGAATAAGACTTCATGTTGTTAAAACCTCAAGAAGGCTTTTTCTTCTGCCGGTGTTTCCCATTGCATTCTTTCTTCTGTTGCCATGCTCAAATACCCTGATGAAAGCAACTGAAAAGAGAAAGGGTTTGCAGTGGCTCCCAGGGTCAGGGTACAGCCTGCCTTGGTAAGGAAGTTACGGCAGCAGGGCCTGGAGAGGGCCAGTCACACTGCATCCATACTCCAGAGGCGGAGAGAATGGATGCTAGTCTTTAGTTTGCTTTGTTCTTTTCATGCAGAGCAGGGCCTCAGCCCATGCAGTGGTGTCACCCTCAATTACTCCAGGACTCCCCACCTCAGGTAAGGCTTGTCTCCCAGGACCTATCAAGTTGACAGTAATATCCATCATTCATGACAACATGACATCCTATGACTTAGAAAGACATCAAGGAAGTCTGAGAGATTGTTGCTCAGTGAGAGAAGTCACTCTGAAAAGGCTACCTGTATGACTCTGTGACTCCAGCTATCCGATATTCTGATGAAGACAATAAAATCGAAGACAGCAAAAGGCCAGTGATGGCCAGGACCTGGAGGGCATGCTTTGTCAGTGGCACTTGGGGATGGTTTTTGTTTGTTTGTTGTTTTGTTTTTAGATTTATTTATTTATTTATTATGTGCGCACTGGCCTGCCTGTATATATGCCTGCAGGCCAAAAAAGAGCACCAGATCTCATTACAGGTGGCTGTGAGCCACCATGTAGTTGCTAGAAATTGAATTCAGGACTTCTGGAAGAGCGGTCAGTGCTCTTAATCTCTGAGCCATCTCTCCAACCCTGCATTCAGGGATGTTTAGGGCAGTGAAATGTTATATATGCTGCCTTAGAGAGCGCCGATGCCAGATGTTAGTGATAGAGGGGGATGGAATTTGTGAGAGCTCTACACTTTGCATTCAGGTTTCTGTAAACATGAAGCTGCTTTTGCTGTTTGTTTTTTGCCAATTACTTTTTAAGGTCTGTTTATTTTATTGTCTATGTATGAGTTTTGTCTGCATGTATGTACGTGTATCACATACAGGAGATTGGATCCCCTGGAACTGGAGTAATAGATGGTTGTGAGCCACCACATGGGTGGTTAGAATTGGGCCCAGGTCTTCTTCAAGAGCAAAAAGTCCTTTAAACTGATGAACCATCTTTCCAGCCCCAAAAGTAACTTAACTCCTCCACTTCCCACCCCCCAGGCAGGTTCTTACTGTGTCTCCCTGGTTGGCCTGGAACTCAGTGTAAACCAGGCTATGCTCAGACTCACATGATCTGACGCCTCTGCCTCTGGAGTGCTGGGCTTAAAGACATTTGCCACCACACCAGGTTCATTTGTTAATTAAAAGGAAAAAAAAACTACAGCCAAACTAGTGAAAATTATTTAATTAATAAAAAATAAATAAACCAAGTCTGGTGGTCATTACCTGCAATCCCAACACTGAAGAGGCCAGAATAGGAGGATTCTGAGTTCATGGTCAGCCTGGGTTACATAGTGAGGCTCTGTCTCCAAATAAACAGCAGGCCTCCCAAACAGTTTAAAAAAATAAAAACCTAACAGTGAGCAATCACTCTGGAGAAATCCAGTAACCTTTGTTTCTTTGGTAAATATGCATAGTGGTATTTCTACTAAATTCTGCTCTTAAACTTTGTTCTTTTCGCCGGGCTGGTGGCACACGCCTTTAATCCCAGCACTCTGGAGGCAGAGGCAGGGGGAATCTTTGTGAGTTCGAGGCCAGCCTGGTCTACAGAGCAAGTTCCAGGACAGCCTCCAAAGCAATACAGAGAAACCCTGTCTCAAAAAACAAAAAATCAAATCAAAACAAACAAACAAAACCTTTGTTCTTTTCTCTTTAGTGACAGCCAGAGTGTCAACCTTGGAGGTACATACTCCCAAAGAAATCTTCGTGGTGAATGGGACACAAGGGAAGCTGACGTGCACATTCGATTCTCCCAACACAACTGGATGGTTGACCACAGTCTCCTGGAGCTTCCAGCCAGACGGCACCGACAGTGCAGTGTCGGTGAGAACCACCCTCTCACCCCTCCGTCCTGCCCCTCCTCTGCCTTCTGTGGTCACTGTTTCTCACAGACTGCTCTGTTGCTATCATGTGATCAATGGTCCACTCCTACCATCCATCTCTGAGACGAGACAGACACTTCAAGGCTCTTTCCTCTCTTGCTTCGTAATGTTCCAGGGAAAAGTTTGTGCTGCATCTCATAAATGCAGCTTATTGCCTTGTCTTTTTATTTACTTCTCTTGCCATCACCACCCCACCCCTGTTGCTTCTGACCATCAGATCCCATTTGGAATTACTTCCAAGGCAGCCTCTGCTGGGCCATGTTGACTGTAGTCACATTTTATCCCATAGTTTTCCGGTTTATATTTGCCCCATTTTTTATTTCTGATTATTAGATCTGTCAGTCTGTCTATATCCCACACATGGAGGTATATATAGTCCCTTCTGATATAATGATGCTTTTGATTTTTAACTTGGCTTGTAGTGTGGTTCTTCAATATTTACTGGGACCTTACCATGCCATTGGTATGCAAGGTCTTCAACAACAGTATCTTTGCTCTTGGAGCTGGAGAGATAGCCCAGTGGCTAAGAGCACTTGCTGCTCCTCCTAAGGACCCAAGTGGCGACTTACAACTGCAATTCCAGATCTGATTCCCTCTTCTTACCTCTGAGGACTTCTGTGCACTTGTGGTACACAGACATGAATGCAGGCAAAACACCTCTATACACAAAATGAAACTAAAGGGCACAGGGGACGTGTCTTTGCTCTTACCTGAGAGCCATGAGAAGTGACCCGGCGCGTAGTTGCCAGGGTGATGAGGGACACAACAGAAGGAAACTACTAAGAGGTTGGACAGAAAGTGCATTGGTGGCGTTTTGTTTCCTCCTTGATGCCCTGATGCTATGCTAAAATACTCTGTCAGAAGCACCTTGAAGGAGAAAGGGCTTTATCCTGGCTCACAGTTCACGGCACAGTCATTATGGAAGGAAGCCATCTTGAGGCAGCTCGTCACATCACAGTGACAGCAGGGAAGCAGAGAAGGGCAAGTGCACACACAGCTCCCTTCCTCCTTTTCTACTGTCCAGACCCCAGCCAGGGAATGATGCCATCCACCATTCAGTAAACGTATCTAACACCTGAGCCAGGCGCGGTGGCACACACCTTTAATCCCAGCACGTGGGAAGCAGAAGTGGGGGGGAATCTCTAAATCTGAGGCCAGCCTGGTCTACAGAGTGAGTTCCAGAACAGCCAGAACTAAATAATGTTACTCTATCTCAAAAGCAAACAAACTACAAACAGAATGGCAACTGTTTTTTGGCTGATGAGTTCATGTTGGAAGTTTAGTCCCCTATGCCTTTTTGGAGGTTGTTAGGGTGAGATTAGGTAAAGTGATGAGAGTATCATCCCCATGATGCATTAGTGACTCTAGAAGCAGAGAGTCTTGTCCTAGAACACTTGTTCTATCTTCCCATATGATACCCTCTGCCATGATCTGATCCAACAAAAAGCTCCTCTCTAGCTGTCACCATGGAGTCCCCACAATTCAACCTACTAGTTATAGGTACTCAGTCTAGATGCTGGCTCACCGTATGCCTATGCTATAGTCCTCCTTCTATGAGGGGAGTTGGGGGGAAGGAAGGAAGGAAGGAGGGAAGAAAGGAAGGAAGGAAGGAAGGAAGGAGGGAGGGAGGGAAGGAGGGAAGAAAGGAAGGAAGGAAGGAACGACCCTAACCCTCTCCACCACTCCTCAAGGAACACAGTAACTTCCTGTTAGGTGTGGTTAGATGTGAGTCCCTCATGGTCTCCCCTGGGAAAACACGGACTGACTAGTTACTGAAATCAAAAAAGCTTTTGTTTAGCCCAAGTGGCTTTATGTTAAAATGTGATATCAAAAGCATCAACTCCCAGTGGGAGCAGTGGTGCATGCCTTTAATCTCAGCATTTGGGAGGCAGAGGCAGGTGGATCTTTGAGTTCAAGGCCAGCCTGGTCTACACAGTGAGTTCCAGGACAGCCCAGAGTACACAGAGAAACCCTGTCTCGACCTCCCCCCAAAATGCTGTGTACTCCTTGTTGAAGTTAGTCTCCTGAGGAAAAGCACTGTCTCTAGGTTGAAGCAAAGTCTTGGGTGAACCCACATCCTTCTGCATTTACTAATGGGGAACCTCTAAACATATTATCTGGAAGGACAGAAGATTAATTTATTTAACTTCCTTACTAGGTCTAGTTGGGTATGATTTAAGTAAGACAAGAAATGTAGGATGCCTGTCCTGAGGTTTCTGCCGTTAGAGTAGCTGTGAGAGCAACAGGCGGACTGCAACCCAATGTCTCTAGAGAGTCGGTACAGGGATTCTGCTTCCGTGAGCCGAACGTCAGCGAGGAACATGGCCAGTATTCCATAGACTACAATGGGTCACACGTGTTTCTGTGAGTGTCTAAAAGAAGACCCTCAAATTTGAGGGTTTCTCTTCTGCTTTAGGATGTCAGGGGTTTATTCAATATATAGAGCATAGATATAACCTGAGGTTAAAAATGTCTGTTTTTCTTTTCTGTCCTCCCCCCCCCCAAGGAGTCTCTATGTAGCTCTGGCTGTCCTTAAACTCACTCTATAGACCTCGAACGCACAGAGATCCACCTGCTTCTGCCGCCTAAGCGCTGGGATTAAAGGTGTGTGCCACCACCGTCCAGTTGAACAGCAGATTTCTAAGCCTGTATTTATGCTATAATAAAGTGGTAATGGCTGACTGGGTAATTTAAAGGAACACAGATTTATTTCTTACAGATCCAGCGTCGAAAACTGAAGACCAGTGAACCTGGCATTGGGCTAGGACTTTGCTGTTGTGCCATCCTGCGGTGGAGGCCACAAAGATGAGAGAATAAAGGCCCCTTGCCTGACCGCCACGTGATTTGCTGCTTTCTGTGGGAGTCCTTTTAGAAGGACACCTGCAGCGCAGCATGGCTGTTCCTTACAGATGGCGGGACTCTGCCGTCCAGAGTAGCTCACGTGTTCCTCTTCTCTCTTTGCAGTTCTTACAGATGGCGGGACTCTGCCGTCCAGAGAAGCTCACGTGTTCCTGTTCTCTTTTTGCAGTTCTTCCACTACTCACAAGGACAAGTGTACATCGGGGATTATCCTCCATTTAAAGACCGAGTCACCTGGGCTGGGGACCTTGACAAGAAAGATGCATCCATCAATATAGAAAACATTCAGGCTGTTCATAACGGCACCTATATCTGTGATGTCAAAAATCCTCCTGATATCGTTGTACGGCCTGGGCACATAAGGCTCCATGTGGTGGAAATAGGTACTTCCCACAGTGGTTGATGTGACAGGACACGGTCTCTTTTGTCATGTGTAGCTGGAGAATAAGAGTTATGTCCCAGGGTGCATTTGGAAGGAAATGTTTTGGGAATTTATTTTTGTGGTGTTGGATATCAAACGCTGGCCAAGTACTCTACCACTGAGCCGCATCACTAAGCCGTGCTGGGATAGTTCTTGGCTTCCAGCTGTGCTTCCTGTCTCTGTGGACTCAAGGCTTAGCCTGGCAGAGCGATGGTTGGGAAACTTCTGCTCAGTCAACAGAGCAGGCGGCTATCCCTTTTCACACCTGTGTCTGGAGCCTCGACTTTGATTTCAGGCATATTAGTTGGTTGATGTTAAGTGCAAGAGCGGCCAAATTCACTACAGCTGGATGAAGTGGGCTGTAGGAAAAAGAAATTGGACCTATTTTGATATTGACTAGGATGATATTTTAGTGTCTCTTACAGCAACACAGAAGTTTCTTCCCTAGTTTGAAGATGGGCGGGAATACAAATTCCATTGTCTCCTCTTGAGGCAGCCTGATGCTGGAGATGATTGATGTAAATTCACATCTCCAGGTTTGCTTTGACTGTAGAATGTGGGGGAGGGGTTATGGGTGTAGAAATGCTAGGTCATTTTCAACTGAAATGCCACGGGCATGCCAGTTGTGGGTCATTTGATGCCGCTCTGTGTAAGTTTGGCCACTAAAAGAGGATAGCTAAATAAAATGGTAACTACCAGAAGAAGTTCTTGCTTCCCAAATTAACAAAATTCCATTTCTTCTCTCTGTGCCCCCTTCCCCCCACCTCCCTTGTTCTCTCCTCTAGACAATCTGTTGGTGTTCCTGGTTTGGGTGGTGGTGGGCACCGTTACTGCCGTGGTCCTGGGCCTCACTCTGCTCATCAGCCTGGTTCTGGTTGTACTCTACAGAAGGAAACACGCAAAGCGTAATTACACTGGGTAAGAGCTTCTGCCTGACAGAGAAGGGTTGAAGAGAGGAAGGCAGGCTTTATAAAAACTTACTTTTAGTGGGAAAAGCACCGTGAAGGGTTATCTGCTGTTTGCTTTTCCATCGGGCCCAAGCTGTCCTAGGTGTTGGTGTGAGGAGCAGATGTTAGGGGCTTGCTGTTAGCTGCAGAAAGGATGCTGGGCTCTCTTCTGCAGTTTCCTTCTGAGGCTTGGGGACATGAATTGCTCAGCAGTCAGGGGCTGAGTTTCAGTGCTATCCACTCAGCAATTAGAATTCTTAAGCCACAGACATCACTTACCCAACTTAAGGGTTTAATTTTTCCAAGCATGGTGGCACACGGCTGTAATTCTAGTACTTGGAAAATAGTTGAAGGTCACACTTGGCTACATAGTGGGCTTGAAACCTGCCTGGGCTAATGAGACCTTGTCTCAGAATAACAACGGGGCCTGGCAAGATAGTTCAGCAGGTAAAGATGAATGACCAGAGTTTGATCCCCAAAGCCCATCTGGTAGGAGGGAACTAACTCCTCATGCATTCTCCTTTGACCTCCATTTGCACGCCATGGTATGCAAGCATATGTCTCCCTCACTCCACTCCCGGATTCCTCACACACAAATAAATGTAAAAAAAAAAACTGAAATGAGAAAAGGTTAAAAAAATAGTTTAATCGTAATGCGTTGCTACTACTCTTCTGAGGGACTTCCCTTTGCTCCGGTGTAGAACGCAGCACTGGCCCTCCTAGCCTGGTGTGAGGCACAGCTTCTCTCTGCTGTAGTTTCCACCCCACTACAACCTGACCAGCTCCATCACTTTGCATGTACCTAAAGTGGGGGAGTAAGAGTTAATGTCAAAACATAACAGGAAGAAGGAAGATGTCTCACCAGGGATGTCTGGTGTAGGGCTATGTCTAACTGCAAGACGTTCTCTTTTCCCCACTCCAGCTGGAAAGCTAACCTATATAAGCTATAGCACTCGCGAGGTAAGACTGAGTATGAAGGTTGCATTCATGTTGGTATAGCCTGGACAGCATCACACACATGAGCTAACTTGAGACATCCTAGAGGAACTGTGGTTAGAGAGGGTTGCATGCCCGAATGGCAGGAGCCTCTCTGTGGGCTTTGCTGACCTCGAGATGTTAGGGGTGCTGTGTTTGAACAAGTCTGAGTGCTCTGATTCAGGAGTTACTTGCTTGGAATGTGTCTCTTTTGCTGACTATTGCTCCCTTGCATGGGGTGTGTTTTGTGGTTAAATACAGAGGGATTGATGGTTTTCAACACGAGACTAATCTAATGTAGTAATGCTTCAGACCGTAGTTCTCACTTGGAGTTAATAAAGTGAACAGGAAGATGTTTCTTCGGTCCTGCATGGCATCACGGTTGCTGCTGTTCTAACTTTGGTCATCCCGCCTCCCTCCCCACACACCATTTCCTGCTTTTCTTCCTTGGTGTGCTGGGACTTACTTATCTTCTCTTCTTAAAAAGCAGCTGACATAGAAGACACATTGGCAGTGTAACAGGGCCGGGTCTCCTCTCCTACTCCACTAGACACATGGTAACTGCTCACATTGCCCACTGCTGTTAGTATTGTGTGTATATGTACAGCCCATTCCCATTGGTGACACTAACAAGCCAGCTCAGTGCTAACCCAACAGCTATTATAGTCTGTTCATAGGTGTGCTGTTTGATTGTACTGAAAACATAACATCCTGATGAAGTTAGATTCATCTCGGGGTGTGTGTGTGTGTGTGTGTGTGTGTGTGTGCTCGCGCGCGCGCGCGTGCACGCACCCTTCATGTAAAATATGTGTGTGTGATTTTTATACATGAATTTTATTGCCCATGATTAAGACCTCCTTTGGGTTAGAATAATCAAACAGTTTGGCTTAGGGCATATAGTCTCCCATTCCAGAGAGGGCAGTTTGCAAAGTGCCCAGGATGCTCTGGGCTTAGTAAGGACACTTTTGATGTCCTGTCCAGACTCCTTACTTCTTCAGATGTCAGCACAAACGACACAGCCCTTCTTTTTTTTTTTTTTTTTTTTTCTTTTTTTTGAGACAGGGTTTCTCTGTATTGTTTTGGAGGCTGTCCTGGAACTCGCTCTGTAGACCAGGCTGGCCTCGAACTCACAGAGATCCGCCTGCCTCTGCCTCCCAAGTGCTGGGATTAAAGGCGTGCGCCACCAGCGCCTGGCTTCGACACAGCCCTTATAACCTGCTGCCTATTCAGTTTCCCTCACTCATGAGGTAGCACTTTGTAAACATGTCCCCATGCTTCTCTTGGAGTTCAGTCCACATGACATTCCATGTGGCATTCCATAGTTTCTCCTGGGTCGTGACTTACTGGCTGATTGTGTTTTGAGGTTTTTTTTTTTTTGTTTGGTTGGTTGTGATATTGATAGGGAAACTAAAGAATGGAAGGAGAAGGGTAGGCATAGGGATGACTCTGGATGTGGACCTGAGACTCTCGAAAGTCATCCAGAAGAGGCTTTCCTTCAGTGACGGCTAAAGCACTTGCCCATTAAACCAGAAGAAGCTAATTCTTTAAGCATTTATCCTGAAGCGGTGGATGGCAGGAGGAAAAACAGCACACCACACAGAAACAGTGTGGCTACTTGCCACCCTCAGCAACATGCACGCTGGGTTAGACTGATGCCAGAGCTTCAGGAGGGGAAGATAGTTTTAAGCTGTAGATTTTCTGGAGCCCCACTGTTCTGTTTTCTGTCGTTTTGATTTTATGTATCTGTTGCTTCATTGTGCCGTCACTTGCATCACTATACTTTTGTTCCCATTTATTGTACTTTTTCGTTTTTACATTTGTTCTTTAAATTGTCACTTCATCAGTTGCAGTACATCAGAGCGTTTGTCACCAGTTAAGCAGGCTCCACGGAAGTACCCCTCCAACACAGAGGGCCTAGTAAAGAGTCCGCCTTCCGCCGGATCTCACCAGGTAACAGCTGCTGGCACTGCGCTCTAAGGTTTGGTACGCTTCTTGGGTATGAAGGAGAATATTGTGATATTCTCACTGTAGTAGACATGCAGAGACAGAGGAAGATGGAGGAATTTAAAGGACTGGTCTAAGAAGGCCACAGGAAAATGTGTTGCAAAGAACTGTTCTTAGGAAAGTTTCCCACCAAAGCACCACTAACGTTATTTAAAAGGTATCTCCTTCAGCTCAAGTGCTAGCAGCAAGTGGCTTTGTCAGCTGTAAAACATTCTTAAGTTGCCCAAGAAATTAAAATGTAGTGAACTGTATTCTAAAGAACTCTAAGAATTTGACAGGGAAGAGCTGGGGTGGTACATAGTTTGGTAAAGTTCTTGGAAGAGGAACTGGGTTCAGTCCTCAGAACACACATAAAGAAGAGGGGAAACCAGATGTGGTGACATACACTTGCAGTGACAGTGCTGGAGAGGTAGGGACAGTGGACCCTTTAGGCTTACTGGCCAGCTAGCCTAGCCTAATTGGCAAGTGCCAGGTCCCAAGACTCTGTCTCACTGGGCATGGTGGCTCATGCCTTTAATCCTAGCACTAGAGAGGCAGAAGCAGGTGGATCTCTATGAGTTCAAGGCCAGCCTGGTCTACATAGTGAGTTCCAGGACAGCCAGGGCTACGTTGAAAGATTCTGCCTCAAAAATAAATAAATAAATAAATAATAAGAATTTTAAAAAACCTGGGGTTGGGGGGGACCAGAGAGAGAGACAGAGACCCTGTATCCAAAGGAAAGTGGAAGGTACCTGAGAAACCACATACATACAAGGTAGTCGTTCGCACATATATTTATGCATGCACACACAGAAATCAACAGGGAAAGATAGTGTTCTCAGTATTAATAATAAAACAAGAAATATATTTCATGACCAGCCACAGTGGTCAGGATGCAAAGTACCAGAAAATTTGCTTTCAGGGAAAAGTTATGATATTCTTGGTATTGATAATAAAACAGAAAATGGATTTTCTTTAGAAAAAAACTCAAGGGACTGGAGAGATGGCCAAATGGTTGGGAGCACTTGGCTGCTCTTGCAGAGGACCCTGGTTCAGTTCCCAGAACCCACATGGAAGCTCACAATCATTTATAACTATATTTCCAGGCAATCTAGTACCCTCTCGTGACCACCACAGGCTCCAAACACAGCTATGGTGAACACACACGTGTAGACAAAATACTCAAACACATAGAAACAACATCAAACAGATCTAAAAATGTTTTAATCGAGAGGAAATGCTTATCAGGATAATTTATAGGCTAGATGAGTAAGGACAGGCGCTTGGCTTCTACTTCCTGTGGGAAGCTCTGAAGAGACTCTTTCATTTGGAGTTTAGCACAGGACCCAGCGCCCTGCTTCATGCTGTACTTTTGCTGTGTCGTTTTGAGCCATAACTATGGCTTCATCAAAGCATCACAACTTAGTGCCTGTGGGGTCTGTGTGCAACAGAAATCCTCCTAAGGAGTTTGGCCAATTCTACTTTGCCTTAAAGAGGTAATAACTAAAGGAACTGCATTTCACAAACAGTTAAACGAATACACACACATACACATACATACATACATACATGCATGCATGTATATATTATATATGCTCCATGGGTTTTATATGTGGTGAGGAAACTTACTTCAGTGAGGAAACTGAGGCGTTGTTCTGAATTTCTCAAAGCACACCACACTATTGGAATTAGGGTTCAAACCCAGTCTCCGAGACAGCAGGCATTCTATGGCAGCATCGGGCTCATAACCTGTTCCTGTCCCCGCCCCCCTCTCCCTCCCTGCATTGCCACAGTATACCTCAGTTTGCTGATTTGGGTCCTGACTAGGAATACAACTGTAATAAGTCAGAAGAGTTACACATAGGTTTAATAGCTAAAGAAGCCATGGGGAGGTTTCCCTCTGCCCTTGGGAATGAGGTAGGCATCGCCCTTCTGCTGAAAATGAACTCTTAGTTTCAAACAGTGAAACCTGACTTTCAAGACAATCACACAACACTCTGATCTCTCAAAGAGAAGGGACAGTGCAGGCCCTGTGAATACACCAGTGTGCCACAGCCTAGTGCAGAGAGGGAAAGTGGAAATGGCTGGGCGCAGCTGTGTCACCGAACCGCGGAGGTAGAACTGAGAGTTTTGGGCTGAGTATAGATTTGTGTATCCGTGGTAGAACACTTTCAAGGGCAGAGGAAGAGCTATAGTGCTTGGAGCTCACCAGGAGCTGGGACTAGTTTGTAGAGAAATGGGTTAGCTCTCGTGCTTTGTAGGTGCTTAAATAACCACATAAAGGGTGCTTGACCCATTTTTACAGAGCTTGAAAAGAAGCCTTTAGACTTTCAACTCATCCAGAAGTGATTTCTCTGTAAGCCACAACAGAATGTAACAATCCCCAACAAGTTGGTGCCCAATAGTGTAAAATTCATCATGTCTGGTGCCAGTCAAAACTGACCAGGCATATGGCCAGGTGTGGTAACACATACTTGTAATACCAGTACGTGGGGAGGCTGAGACAGGAGGATTGCCTAAAGACCAAGCTGGACTACACAGAAGCCCTGCTTCTTCAAAGAGGGCTAAGGGAAACAAACGAATCAGATAAGAAGCAGGTAACTAGTGCTCGCTGTGGCAGCACATGTACTAAAATTGGAACGATACAGAGAAGATTAGCCTGGCCCCTGCACAAGGTTGACATGCAAATTTGTGAAGTGTTCCATTGAGGGGGCAGGTAACTAAAAGAAATCAGCAGTTAAAAACCAACTATCCACTGGGGGCTGGAGAGAGGGCTCAGCAGTTAAGAGCGCTTGCTACATTTGCAAAGGATCCAGGTTTGGTTCCTAGCTCCCACAGAGTGACTCACAATTATCTATAACTCCAATACTAGGACACCCCCTTCTGGCTTCCTTGGGCACCAGGCACACATGGTGTACATACATATGTGCAAGCAAACCTTCATACACATAGAACATAGAGGGGAGATGGACAACACAGATTAGCAATGGATACTATTCAAAATGAGGTTTGCCAAAAACAACAACAAAACTAGCATTTTCCATTTAATTTTTTTGGGGGGCTGCCTTTGACTGAAATCATGGGAAGCAAACCTCGGAATGAAAAGGGACAGTAACCAGGCAAAGGTGAACACACCTTTAATCCCAGCACTCAGAAGGCAGAGACAGATGGATCTCTGAGTTCGAGGAGACCCAGGACTGTTACACAGGGAAACCTTGTCCCAAAACAACAACAAAAACCCAACCCCCAAAAGGGACTGTAGTAAACTCAACCACATTAATTACATTGGTTATCAATATTCAGAACACTCCAAGTCAGAGGGGTAGCGATCTCAATGGCACAGAGTATACTTTTTAGTACTGCGCAAAACCCTAGATTAAGTTTCCAAGATAGAAGACAGGTAGATGATAGACAGACAGACAAGTCATGTTAATGCTTTTTAAAAGTTAGAATTAGGTTTCTGCCTTGCCTGTCTGTGGAATCTGTAAATCCATTGACAGTAGGTACAACACTGTGAAATGGCATCGAATGATTTGTGATTTATTGGGAAGGGTTTTTTGTTTTGTTGTTGTTTTAATGATTGTTTCCAATTGTGCTAGTTCACAATGGAGGCTTCTTTGCTAGGGTTCAACATTGACTCCACATAGTCCTCAGTTCTCACAGTCCTTAGACACTAGCCATCCTGATGGATGCTTTGTTCACCTCAGCACTCCCTTGAGATAATGTGTCTGCGGTACCTCCCTCTCAGGCAGCTGCTCCCGAGAGTCCCGAGAGCACCTCCGTGTAACATGAAAAATAAAAGATCCAGAGACTGATATTGGGGTTCAAGCTACAAGCTGAAGATCAGAAAAGCAAAGCAGCTGGCCACTAGCTCTTACTCTACCTCAGACTGAAAGGCGATCCTGGTTCCACCAAACCTCAGACTGCTGCCTCTCCTCAGCGTGGCTGGAGAATCCTGAGACTTCAATGTCTTCCTATCCTCAATGTGGCTGGAGAGTGAATGCCAGCTCTGAGACCTTGCTCCTGTCTTATATACCTCCCTAATGCCGGGATTAAAGGCATGAGCTCTGTTGTTCTTCACTATTGTGTAGGCCATGGTGGCCTTGAACTAACAGAGATCCGTCTACCTCTTAATCCTGAGTCCTGAGTCCTGGGATTAAAGGTGCGTGCCACCACCACCTGACCTCTATAGCTTGTGGCTGACTTTGCTTTCTGAATCCTCAGGCAAGCTTTAATAAATTGTAAACAGTATATCACCACACCTCCATGTTTGAGGGTACTTTGTGTTCACCTTGTGTTCATTCAGGGCCGCAATATTGTCACTGAGAGATAAAAGTTCAAGGATACACTCTACTCATCGTCTGCATAGCTTTTTTTTTTTTTTTCAGGTTTGGTTGAGACAGGGTCTTGCCATGAGTAGCCCAGGCTGACCTTGTACTTTAAGCAATTCTGTCTCAGACTCCTAAGTGCTAGGATTACAGGATCACCACTGTGACTCATTTCAAACCCTTCTCTCTCAGGCTTTGGCATCATGTAAAAATGAGTAAAAGGAAGAAACTTCAGGTCTTCTCATGTGCAGCATCTATTACGAAATGAGACATTTGCCAGAAGCCCCCACAGACTTTTTCCCTAGCCCCTCAGGTCAAGAGTGGGTCACTTCTAGTCACCTGCAAGGGTCAGTAATTGTGACTGGCCGAGGTAGCATCTTGACTCACACTAGGGACTCAAATGAAGTCCATAGCCTCAGCAAAAATGCTGGTGAATAGCAGACACACAGGAAGAAGGCTCTGCCAGTGCAGTGGGAGGCAGGATGGGCTTGGGAATCGAGTTAGGCTGGCTCTGGTTAGAGTGCAGGGCACCATAGCATGGGAGGAAAGATGCAAGAAACTTCCCTTTATGAAGCTTCGTTTTTATCACAACTGGTTTAAGGTGATTCATATGGATATGAACATTGGAGGAGCTGGTTTTCTGGATCCTTTTCCGGAAGGAGTCAATACTTGGCATGCAAAAGACAAGTATCTGGAGAACAGCAATTCGATGGAGATCTCCATATGTATATCTCATGCAGCTTCCGTCCATTTAGTCTTCATGGGGTCCTGCATGATGTATCACTTTACCACACTGCTTCACTCTGAAGGCTTATTTGTGTTGAGTCACTCAAGCGACACTAGCAAAGCTGTCCTTCTGATGTAGATCCGTCCGGTTCTAAGACGTGCAAATTCTTCCCTGCCAGACCAATTCTTCTCAACTCTCCCAATAGTCAGAACTGATCTTGTTTGTCTCAGAGTCAGAACACACGGTGTTTCACTTTTGTGTTTGGCTTTTAAAACACGGTGAAGTAAATCCTGGAAATAGTGTTTTGGCCGCAGCCAGTGATCACATGAAGGCAGGTCCCCCTCAGGCCAGCAGTCCAGTGAGCACGTGGTGAAGGCAGGTTTTGTAGCGATCTTGCCTATACCGGTGGCCACACCTCCTTTGGGTGTGGTTCCAGGCAGCCGGAAGCGGAAGGCATAAGGCGTGGTCTCGGTTGTTCCGCTCTTTTTCTTGGGTCAGCCAATCCAGTAAAAGGGCAGAGAAGCGCTCTGGCGGTTGTTTGTATTTTGCTGTGTTAAGTGTTCTCCAAAAAAACACCCATTTATCATTTATCTTGGGTCTAGTGAAATTTTTACACCCTCGCCTTCAAGGTGTTCCCTCTCAGGTCAGCAGTCGGTGAACATGTGGTGAAGGCCGGTGTTCCCCCTCAGGGAGTGCTGAGGGGTTGAAAGCGAGTATTTTCAGGCTGTGAAGTCGACACACATGGGTGGGTGGCTGAGTTCAAAGCCAGCCTGGTCTACATAGCAAGTTCCAGGCCAGCCAAGGTTACAAGAGTGAGATCCTGGATTCAAAAAAGGGAGTCATAACATGTCCGAGGGATCAGAGTCAAATTACTTAACAATGCCGAGTCTCAGGTACCCTGTAAGGACTGCTAAGTGGACTCACTGCTGTGCAGAGACTTCTAGAAGAATTCTTTTTTTGGACCTTCCACCTTCAGCAGCATGTTCTAGTATTAAGCTGAATTTCACAGAGGTAGAATTCAGAGCTGATTGCCTCTCTAGCTAAACTCGTTCAACTAGAAGAATAGACCTCCTTGGGCATAAGGCTTCTTGAAAAATTTTTTTTGAAACAGGGTCCCTCTGTAGCTCAAGCTGGCCCTGAACTCACAGAAACCCACCTGCCTCTGGTTCCCAAGTGCTGGGATCAAAGGCGAGCACCACCACACCTAACTTCTCGAGACATTTTTATTTTTATTTTATTTATTTATTTATTTATATTTTATTTATTTTATTTTTTTGGTTTTTCAAGACAGGGTTTCTCTGTAGCTTTGGAGGCTGTCCTGGAACTCACTTTGTAGACCAGGCTGGCCTCGAACTCACAGAGATCCGCCTGTTTCTGCCTCCCGAGTGCTGGGATCAAAGGCGAGCACCACCACACCTAACTTCTTGAGACATTTTTAAAGGCAGCCACACAAAATTCACTTGTTTTGTAGTAGCTGTTGTGGGGGAAGTTAGAGGGTGACTGTTGGCTTGTGTGGTAAAGCAGCTAGGCTACTGTGGGTTCGGAAGCTGCTCCTTTTCTTCTCTGTCCTTACTGACCCTCAAGTGGCTCTCTAAGAAGCATTTGTTTCCCTGTATTCTCCCGAAGTCCAAAAGGTCTCCTGGTTGTCAAAATGAAGGTCCTGAGGCATGCTCCACAGTCCCCAGTATGCATCACCTTTTAGTAGCTCCAAAACCAGGCGTCTGCAACCTGTTCTAGATGGAGCTGACCCCTTAACCATGCCCCCACATCTTCTGCATTATTTTATCCATCCCTTCATCTGGCCTGGCCCTTCTAGGTGATTGGGTAACATAGACGCTGAGTTGTGCATGTTCTTTTCTAAGGGAAAGAAGGAATGGACTAACTAGGTGCTGGTAGGCAACTGTTCTTCAGTCTGTTTCATTCATTGCCTTCCCAGGCAATCTCAACATGAAACACCATACTGTCTCACATGAAATACTTCCTGGGATGTTAACATTTACTGACTGGTGCAGATGGGTCTGTGTGTTTTAGTCTCCTGCTCACACAGTGTCACTTATCGGTTGCTGTGCAACAGTCAGGCAGACGCTCTGCCTTTGGTTTACTGGGCCAGTTATCTCAGTGTCTTTAGAGTATACCTGTGTGACTCGATGCTGGTGGTCACAGCAGCATCCGTGGGGCGGGCACTGTCCAGCAATAGCTTATCCACAGGTACCACTCCAGTCTCATCATCAGAGCTTATTCAGAGTGTGCCCGATGCCACCACATCGCCATCTGCTAGTCTGCGCAGAGTACCTCAGGGATTCTGAGAGTGGCTTTGCCCAAGTCCAGATAGGTCTGGTGACTGACTGGTCTTACTACTACTGAGCTACCATTGCACAGCCCTGCACCTGGGCCTATCTTCTCTGTGGAAGTCAGAATCCTGAACCCTGCAGGATCTCAGCTTACACACGGGAAGGGGGCACAGGTTAGGCTCCTGGCTTCTGAGGGTTTGGCTCCTGCTCTTGCTGTCTTATTGTAGTAAAAAGCTGAAGTACACCATTGGACTTCTCAAAATTCTCTGGACTGAGAGAAGACCTGATTTTGGGTCATACTGCATTTTTTCTCTTTAAACCAGAGCTGTTTTGTTATCTTTATTTACAATTTTACAGGTTTAGAAGGAATTGGGAAAGTCATAAATGTGAACTGCCCCATGGCAGTTGAATCATTAGCCTCTGTCCAGATTTGTCTCCCTAGAGTCAGGCATCCCCTTGGCTCCCAGAAGCCCAGCCTCTCTTGCTCTCCTGAACTGGACTCTTGATAGCCATCTTGGACTTTGTCTGCTTCCCTGATGCTGAGGTGGGAGGGGAGAACTTGTAGAATTTTTCTTTATATTTCTTAGATTGTGATTTTTTTAAATGAACTTGGAAGGACAGTTAACTGGTATTGGACTTCAGGGAAGCAATCTGGTAATGCAGGTCAGTGGCAGAGGGCATCCCCAGCCTGTCCACGACCCAAGGACCGGTCCCCAACACCATAGGAAGGAGGGTACACATAGCAGCAAACCTGGTAGAGTCAAGCTGAAAGGGCTATGTCGTATTTATATTGAATATTTCAAATGTTTTGAGGATATATATGTATAAAGTGACCAGCACAAATTAATTATGTGGATGACATAATTTTCTATCAGAATGATTCTGAAAATCAAGATCTCAGTGCTCCCTTGGGTGGGTCAAGGGGTCAGTCTAGTCTTTATGCCTAGTCCCAGTTACAAAGGCTGATGAGTGCTTTGACAGCTGGTAAAATAAGGGACATTGCCAAGAACGAATGTAATATTTTTATAGAAATGTCTAAGTATACACCAAACCAAAGGGAATAACAGAACTAATGTTCACATACCAGCTTTGGTGGCTTCAGGGGATGCCCACTCTGGCTTTAAGTCAATCCTAAACATCATCATAAGAAACCTTGACTCTTTGAAAACCCAGAATATGAGTATAATGATTGTTTCTGTTTCTGGAGCTTAGGAACCATGGGGTTTTTTTCTAGACCTCTAATTTGGCTTCTCTTCTCCAGGGCCCAGTCATATACGCACAGTTAGACCACTCTGGCGGGCATCACAGTGGCAAGATTAATAAGTCGGAATCTGTAGTGTATGCGGACATCCGGAAAGACTAAGAGAAGACCCCAAACATATATTAAGCAAGAAACGAATCCAAACTGAACTCTTGTGCAGAAAATGCCCGTAACCACGTGTGGCCTTGACTCAAGAAAGGACAAGCACATGTATACTCAGAAGAAAATGTGTATAAAGGATATGTATAGTCTATTTAATCTTTGACGTGAGAGGCCAGTGATGCATGAAGAAATGGTATGAGTCTACGTAAGTGTAAATTGTCTTGCTGTTTCTGTGTATTCTTTCAGAGTCATTTCTAATTGGAAAGTTTCAGAAGCATCCCAGTTACCAAGTGATATGGTTTCCCTTATTGGAGACTTCACAGAACTGTTAGTACTTCCAACAGACGTGGCCTTTTCATCTAAGGGCTCAACCAGTCTTAGCATTTCTTGTTGTTAGAGATGTTCAGTGGAAGTGAGTCTCACAGTATCAGAACCATTTCTCCAGTGCTAGCTGACACACACCATGCCTTAGCCATGCCACCTGAAGATAGTTTGAGGATTTTTTATTGGTGCTGTTCTAAAATATGAGAGCATTTTCAGCTTGAGCTTGTCCTCACCATCCTTCAGTGGATACTAAGGTCTCACTGACAGGCTTTTGTCACTGTGCAGATAGCACAGCTGACCGAGGGTATGCGTGGTTAAAAGGGTACAGACTGCAGAGCCCAAGGATGACGTTAACATGGGAAAGACTTCATTTTTCTTCTCAGCAATTGTGTGAACAAACTGCATATTCCAGACACCTCTGACAGGTGCTTTACTGGCTCCTTGCTGAGCTGAGACAAAATTATATATATATATATATATATATATATATATATATATATATTTATATATATATGATGCTGGTGTTCACTGGCCTTTGTATGACCTCCCTGCCCAGTCAGAACCAGATCAGCCAGCCCAAGCCAACCTCCCCTAGGCTGGAGCAGTTCACCACTAGCATCCTGGGGCTGAATCTGCAGCCTGATTCCTGCTGCTTGCACGATGAGGCACAAACTTCACATCCTAACTCCCCATACCATCTCCTTTGGAGTATGTCTATTTCCTGTAACTCTGCATTCTGGGGTCTGGCTACAGATAACAGTGAGGTCACATCCAGATGGCAGCGCTGCCCTTCCTATGTCCTCTGACCTGAAGGAGGAGGTATCCTAAAACTTACATGAGAATTGTGAGGGGACACCTAAAAGGAATGGCTTACAGATTAAACTTCCTGTCTGTGTTTTCTCAATGGAAATGTATCCAGCTAGGGAGAAATATTGAGCTCATTGTTACTTTTTGATATTTTCATTTTGTACTTTTGTGAATACTTTAATACATTTTTTTTCAGTTTCTGAATGGTGTCTGCTTGTTTTTAATAGAGAGAAAGAGAGAGAGAGAGAGAGAGAGAGAGAGAGAGAGAGAGAGAGAGAGAGAGAGAGAGAGAGAAGCCTTTTCATTTGTACCAACACAGCCGCACCAGCCATTGTCCTGTATGTACCACCTGTGTACCTACTTGAGGGTCTCTGTGCCGCTGTTCCCAAGGCCTGTTTCTGCAGGTGTTTCAGTGTGGCGTCTTCTCCAACTCCTGAGTCTATGTCCAGAGGTCCCCTTACAGAGATTTCCATCATCTACACTTCTCTCAAGGGAGAACTCAGGGTTGCTGGCTTCCTCCTCCTGCGGCCAGGGCTCTGGCTTCTCAGCTACACAGGCGACATGCCAACCCCATCCTCAGGCTCTCACAGAGACCTGGGTCCATGGAGCTACGCTAGGCTAAGAGGGCCCTCTGGGATTTGTTCTGAAAGCAGTGGGGTGGCCTTGATGCCAGCTGGATCTCAGACCCAACCCTGACCTATTTAGGGCAGGTGAGCTTTTACAGAGGAGGAGCCTGGCCACTGGGGCACTGTCGAAATGGTGGCAGGGACTTAGCCGAGCTCTTCTGTGATGAACTTGCTTCCTGGAGAGTCAAGACTGTGATACTCTTACAAAATTTGAACATGCGTAAAAGAAGAGTAAAAGCAGTCCCCCTAGTCCTCCAGGGGTGATGGTACACATCTGTCTCCCCAACACTTGGGAGGTTGAGGCAGGAGGATCAGGAATTGGACTATGTAAAAAAAAATCTCAAAAATATAAACAAAACCCACATGAAGCCAGATCAGAACTCTAAGGGTAGCAGGTGCACACACGGTATACATATATACATGCAGGCAAAAGCTAATACATATTAAATAAATCTGAAAATTAAAACTTATGAACACAGGGAAGGTTAACATGTGAGAGTAAAGAATAATGGCACATGCATAAAAATGCCATGCGTGAAACCCATTATTACTATGTTAAACTAAAAAAGTTAATTAAAAATGTGAAGCCAGATGGTGGTGGTGCACACCCTTAATCCCAGCATTAGTAGGCAGAGGCAGGGAAATCTCTGAGTTCAAGGGCCAGCCTGGTCTGCAGAGTGAATTCCAGGACAGTCAGGGCTACACAGAGAGAGTGGCACCACCCGTATGTAACAACATCGTCTTGCCATGTTGAATTAAAACATTACTTCTGTGAGAGCAAGCACATGCTACCTTGTTAAGTGTGAGTCAGAGAACTTGGTAAAGTCAGTCCTCTTTCAACCACATGGGTCCTGCAGAACAAGCCTCTAAGCCATCTCACTGGCCAAACATCAACACTTTGGAAGATGCACTCTGAAAGCCAGGGCCTTGGCTGTATCTAACTCCTAGCATGTAATCATATTTCCTTTGTTGTGAAAATGGCATTTTTACAAGTGGTTTCTTCGAGTTAGGGTCCAAACGTGTCCTAGGAAAGATCTGTGAGTAGGGGATGAGGGGGTCATGATGCTCTTGCAGTTTCGCTTGTGCCAGCGAAGCTTTGTGTCAGGAAGGAAGCCGGCCATCAGCCAGTCACTCGTGCACACTGGACTTCTCTGCTACATGCTATGGTATTTTAAGTCACTTCTAGGCTTGCAGACATTTCAGGCTGTTCCCTGTTGTTGATCTTACTAGTTAGTAATTCTGTGCTTATTTGTCCTTATGAACTGTTAAAGAAAAAAACTGCCAAACGTAAACAGTTTCCAGCCAGAGGGAGCACAGCCCAGGGTCAGACCAACCCTTCTGGCCCTTGGAAATGGGACCTAACTTCGGAGAGTGTCAGCAGGGGGTTCCTGAGGCCCCCTCCCTCCTCACATCCTTCCTAAACCCTTCGGGAGCTGACAGGAAAGCCTGACTTTGTGGGTTGGAAGAAAAACATTTGGGAGTAGAAGGCAGGAGGGAGCTTGGGATCAACAGGAGACCGGGTGCTGGCGGGGTGTGTTCACCAGGAGGGAAGCACAGACCTTTCAGCCTCAAAGGGGCCCCTGGGGACCTGCTGCTTCCAGCTTCCATTTCCTCCAGCAAACAGGATGTGAAACCTTATTGTCCTTTCTTGGCTCTGGCATCCGGTTCTTTGCTGTGGGCTTTGTGGTGTGGCCTTTAGTGTCCCAACCTTTAAGGGCAGGTTGGTTCTTCGTTTTTTTTGTTTTGTTTTAAGCCTTGCTAAATCTGGTGCAAAAAGTCAGACATGTTTAATGTTCCCACACTTGCTTTTGCTTCTTGCCATCAGAGCTGTGTGGCTGCCACACTGTGGTGGACAGCTCTGCCTTTGAGGTGTCAGACACCGCACCTGAACCCTGGCTCTGCTTGGGTGTGGGGAGCAAAGCCAAAGAGAAGCTGGCTTTGGGGTGGAGCTTTCTCTCCAAGGAGACTGAATTTTGAATGCAGACCATATTCTTGCCTCTTTCTCTGCCTTGGAACATTTTAAAAAAGATCTTTAAGTTACATTTTATTAGTGTGTGTGTGTGTGTGTGTGCATATACATGCATGCATATACCATAGTGCAAATGTGGAGGTCCATTCTCTCATTCCACCATGTTGCACCAGGAGTTGCATTGAGGACTCACTTGGGTCTGGTGACAAGAGCCTTTACCCACTAGGCTATCTCACCAACCCTTGAAGGTCATAACACTTTTTTCTTAAGTTAGCTTTTAAACACTCATTAATGTTTAGAGCATGTGTATGTCGGGAAGTGGCACATGCACGTGAACACAGGTGCACGTGAGAACAGGAAGCAGAGGGCACCTCAGCTCTCCCGTGTAACTGAGTCACTGCTGATTGGTAGTGAGCTCTGTGACGTGGGTGCTGGGAACTGAACTCCAGTCCTGCGTAAGGCAGTGTACTTTCTTAACTGCTGAGCCCACAAATTTTCTTTTACCTAGACGGAATAAATTTTATATTCTTTCTGTAGACAGTCTTCCGGAATGTTCAGTAGACCCATAAGACTATAGAACATTTAGAAAACTCTGACCTCATTCTTGCTGGCCTAGCAGGACCCCAGAGGCGTGTTTATAATGTATCTGGATGTGCCTGGTGGCTTCCTCAAGGACATTGCACTGGCAGAGGGAGGACATCCTGAAAGCTTGTTGGAGGATCTTGGTCCCAAGAATGCAGAGCACCCATGCGACACATGGTTATTGGCAGCTACCAGGCACCACACTGCTGCTTCTGCCAGAAATGGCAAACAGATCTCATGTCACTAAAGGAATATGACATGTGTCTCTGGCAAGGAGGTCATGTGGTAGAGAGTGGAGCCATGAATCCATCAGATACAGGGCCTGACACATCACACCCTAGGCTCTTCGCTGAGTCAATAATTTAATGTTGACTTACTGAAGTTGGACAAGAGATAAAAATGAAAAGAGAATGACATGAACAGGAGGAGAGCTAGTATTTGCCTGAAAATGACTGGTCCCTTCCTGCTCCTGCCAAAAAAAAAGGGGAAGTTCAAGATTTGGGTTCCCTAGCCAAAGACCCATGGCTGGAGAGCTCACAGGCTCTAGGGGATAACCTACTATTATAAATTTTGCTAAATGGACATTGTATCAAACTGCCTGCTGGATAAATCCCCATCTCTAGACCTGCCTCAGTTCTCCTCAGGTAAATTTCTTCATGTGGTGGTTGGTATGATGACACCCTAGACAAAGTGCAAGGGAATGCATCTTTGGAGTACTTGTCATAAATGGAATGTCTGTGCCACACACCCCTCCTACCCAAGACACACAGAACACCACAGAAGCGGGTGAAAAGATTGTAAAAGTAAGAGGTTGAGGAGGACAGAGACAAAACAGTGTCTTCCGGGCATGGCCAGACTACATGCTCTCCGGAGCCCCGCTGCTATAATACCTGCACAAGATCAAGCCAATCTACAATCCTGCATGGGGGTTCCTGAAGGAAGGCACAAGGCCCTATCTGGCTGGGAGAACTGACAGTTGATGGCTCCTAGGGGAGGGAAGGTCTATTGTTGGGGGTGTGGCCCTTGGTCAGTTGACATGCTCCAGGGGAGTACTTCACACAAGCCCCGACTCCATGTCCTCTTCTTTTCATTCTTTTATAACTTACTGAACCTGCCAAGTGCTTCCCATAGGCACATGGAGGACGAGTTGGGGTATGTGTGTGGGGGGGTGTGGGGGGTGAATACAATCAAAATACATTTTATGCATGTATGGTACTCTCAGAATAAAAAGCGTTTTAAGAAATGATTTTAGTTCCTTGAGGCTGGAGAGGTGGCTCTGAGATTAGGAGTCGTGGCTGCTCCTTCGGATAATGGAAGCCCAATCCCTGGCCCCCACATAGCAGCTCACAATCATCTCTGAGGGATCTGATACCCTCTTTTGGCTCCATTTATACCAGTCATGGGTGGGGAGCACATGCATAAATACAGGCAGAGCACCAGTAAACAAAATAAAAGTGTGTTAAAAAAGACTTTGTTTCCTCTCATAAGTTGTATTTGTTTAAATTGCTTTCACCTATGATTTTCCTATGACTAACCCTCATGCCTCCTGCTCCCTACATGTAGGCATGGATCAAATCTTTACAAAAAGCAGTGGCTCCCTAGAAAGGCAAAGAAACATGAAATTGTATCAGGAGTTGGAGAGATAGCTCAGCAGTTAAGAGCATATACTGCTCTTGCAGAGGAACCAAGTTCAGTTCCTAGTACCCACTTAAGGTGGGTCACACCCGTCAGTAACTCCAGTGCCCAATACTTCTGGTCTCCTCAGGAAACTGCACTCACCACAGATACACACACACACAATTTAAAATAATAAAAGTAAAGATACATTTTTATTTTATGATGATGGGTGTCTTGCCTGCAAGCCTGGTACCCATGGAGGCCAGAAGAGAACATTGGATCCCTGGGAACTGAGGTTACAGACAGTTCTTAGTAGCCCTGTATGTTCTGGGAATCAAACGTGAGACCTCTGGAAGAGTAACCTGTGCTGTTGACCTAAGCAATCTCTCCAAAATAAATCCTTAAA